TCTTTTTTACTACTCAACTATCTGTTCAGGAAAGTCCTTGGCTCATTGCTGGCTTAATGTTTACATCACTCTCTTAAAAAATAGTGTTCTTTTTGCGCATAATTGATGGATCCATGAAGAACGTTTAACGTTCATGGAATCTTTCCGTTGCATGTATAGTTGAATAAAGGTTCTTTAGATATTTTTAATGTTCTTCACACTAAGAAAAATCTCTTTAAGAGTGTATGTACATTTTTATGTTCATTTTCAGCAACATCTCAAATGTCAACATTATCTGCAGAATTTTGAACACAAATTCAAATTCACTTTATTTTAATGCATAATAATTCCAAATATGTGACCCTGGAACACAAAACCAGTTATAAATAGACCCAGACCGATATATCGGCCGACCGATATTATCGGCCGATATTAGGCATTTTCCAAAATATCGGTATCGGCAGTTATAATGGCCGATAAATGAATATTTAAAAAATCAAATAAAAACGGACGAAACACGCTTTAATCATCTCTCCTTGGCCTGTTATATTAAAAACGTATGTTTTACAATTTGCAGTAGGATGTTATCTATTGCTAATCATAGACTAGCTAACCACAAAGCTAGCTAATGCCACTATCATCAGACCGCTAACGTTAACATTAATTAGCTTGGAAACCACAATGAATTTTTTCTGCCTAAATAAAGTAAGTATTACTGTATTTATAACTAGTATATCTCTAGTTACAGTCCCTGCATTGTAAAATGTAAGTTATACTTGCGAGGAGTAAACATTTAGACATAGAGAAAAAGTATCAAACGTATCTTGTGCAGAAAATATCGGAATATCGGATTTTAAAACCCCAAAATATTTGTATTGGTATCGGCCTTCAAAATCCTTTATCGATTGGGCTCTAGTTATAAATTGCACAGGTATACGGATTTGTGGCAAAAGCCAACAATACATTGTATAGGTCAAAATTACAGATTTTTCTTTTAATGCCAAAAAACCATGAGGATATTAAGTTAGGATCATGTTTCATGAAGATATTTTGTAAATTTCCAACTGTAAATATATACATTTTTCTAATATATATATATTTTTTGTGAGCCCGACTACGCCATACTGTATTACTGTAGTACCTCATACTGCACATCTTGAAGACACCGAACGTCACGTACATGTGCACGTCTGTTTGACCGGCTTCTAGAGTTATTCTCACTTCTGCATTTTATCATGCTGGTTCCCGGAGGAATGTAGAACTCAAAATTATCCTCATGATGCTCATCATAAAAGCAAAGACCAAATTAGATCAGTCACTATAATGACCGGAAAAAACATTACACAACAGTCATGCTCCGTAAGAACCGGGTCATATGGCACAAATGTACTGGATTTAGAAATATATCGGGCTTGAAAAGGACAATTTCGCCAACTTTTGCAGATCACTGAGTGCATATACTTCTTGTTTGTGCAAAAATATTATCACAACTCTGTTTCAGTGTTGGGGAAAATTACTTTTAAAAGTCATACATTATAATATTGTGTTACTCCTTTAAAAAAGTATCTAATTAAATTACATTTTTGCGTTACTTTTTTCTCATCTGACTGGGCTTACTTTTTACTTACCTAGGGCAGCGAAGCAAGTGCATTCTGGGAGTTGTTGTCTTTCATCCACATAAGCCAAAAATACATTTTCAGGCTTTTCTCAGTCTAGAAAGCTCCAAATTCAAAAATAATTGCACATTTCTTCTACATAAATGACCCATTTTAAATACACATCCATCTTTCCAGAGGTGAAGTTGCCCTTTAACCCTGTTTCACTGTCCTTCTGTTCACCTTTTGTTTTCCTCTCTGTGTATCATCAGCTTTATCTTCTGTTTGTCTCATTCCATCAGTCTCTTTCTCTCCCGTGTCCCATCTTTCCAGCCTCTCGTTGTCCATTCATCTGACGTTCAGATAGTGGGACCCTGATTCTCTGGTGAGTGTCTGATGCCTGCAGAAGGTCATGACCCCTGCCACCTTCACTAACCCTGCCTTGAAACCTTTTAGACTACTAACAAGTTACATGGAGACTAGATTAAAGTGTGTTCTAGGACTGATTGAGTTAAAGGGCTCATTAACTGCATTATTTTATTGTTTTATAATGTTTCCTGGGGTGCCCTTATAATGTTAGTATGATTTTGACTAGTGGTCGACCGATATTGGGTTTTTTATGGCTATTTTTTAAATATTTTTTTTAATATCTTAGAGAGCAGGGTGGTCGATATAAAGTATGTATATGTATATATATGTGTATACACTTTTATATATATATATATATACACTTTATATTTATTTTAATCAATGTTTAATAAATTAGAAAACATCTTTAAAATCATTGTAAAATATTGTTTATTTTATTTTTATCCTGTCATGTTATTTTTTTATTTTATTTTATTTTGATCCTGTTATGTTATTATTATTTTATTTTATTTTTGGTCCTGTCATGATATTTTATTATTTTATTTTATTTTGATCCTGTTATGTTATTGTTTATTATTTTATTTTATTTTATTTTGATCCTGTTATGTTATTGTTTATTATTTTATTTTAAAATAACCCTGTCGTGTTATTGCAGAATTTAGGTGAGATTCATCCATTACGGTCAGTTAGTGTGTGATTTGTAGGCGCATCCACGGTTAATGAAGCTCTTTTAGATGTAGATGAGATTGTGGTTGTCTGAGGTGACTGAACACTAAAACTAGGAAGTGATTTGTTTGTATAGAGCTGTTGAAACTGGTCTAGTATCAGCGAAGGAAGGAAATTGAGCCACTGGTATAAACTCAAAAACATGATTATACAGAAATTATAATCGATGATTGATAATGCCAATCACAATATCACCTGGAGAATGCAGATAACAGACAAATGCTGAGAAAAGTGCACATTTTATCTTGTTTTTGGGATGATAAATGACTTTGATGTGTTTCTGGTTTTTGATTTACCCAAAAGAAAGCAAGGCATGTCATTCATCCATTTTTTTCGTATTTTCTGCAAGCCGGTTTTGTCCGTGTAAAATGGTTTTGTAGAAGCTGTGGATTAGTGAAGGGCCACAGCAGCTTCTGTGAGGTGTGTGTGTGTGTGTGTGTGTGTGTCTGACAGCTGGAGGATCAGTGGTAGTGTGACCGACGCCAGTAACCCCCACAGTTACTAGTTAAAGAGGTCAGACGGCCGTCAGACGGAAATCCTGAGAGGATCAGACATGCTCATTAGTTTCATTGTGTTGCATTCTGATCTTTGATTGCTATTTTATTATTTAAATACATTTTAAATAACAGTCAGTAAAAGTAAAATAGGGTTAATTTTTGTGAAAAAAAAATATATATACATATTTCTTTATATAAGTAAGTATATTATTTCTTTTTTTTATAAACATGTATTTATTGAATTTTTAACAATTAACAAGGATATACATTTTACATTTTACACTTAACAAGTATATTATTTCTTAATAATAATATAGCCTACTAATTATATCTTAATGTTCATGTATTAATATTTTATTATTATTGTATTTTATCTATTTTGGGGGTTGAAATATGACACGCTCTTAACAGGTTTCATGACATTAATTCGTATTATATATATATATATATATATATATATATATATATATTCTTAACTATAACATAATAATAATAGTTAAATAAAAATATGATTATCTTCATTTATTACTATTATATTTTTTTTAATATTGCATTTTATTTATTTTTATTGCATTTTGCATTTTATTTTTTTTTAAGCTATTTTATTTATTTTTGACATTAATTCATATCATTATTATTATAATTTATTTATTTTTGGTTTGTTATATTAAATCTTGACTGGTTTTGTGAGATTCTTCATTATTATTATTTCTGAGTAATCATATAGTACTACATGGTGTCCACGGGGGTCTTAAAAAACATTAAAAGTCGATAAATCAATTTAGTGATATGTTGACAATCATATGTTGGTGAAATATGACAAGTTTGTGACTGGTTTTATGCATTAATATGCATTTATTTATAAGTCTAAATGGTCCTAACTTATAATAATCATAATTATTATGATTTTATTTTATTTATTTGGGTTGAATTTCTTGAGCGGCTTCTTGAGATGCAGACGGTCTGCCACAGGTATGCAGTTCTCCAGCAGCTGGAGTTCAGTTCTCTGCGTTTGGCCTCTTACTCACTCGCTCATGTGAGTGGAAGTCGCTCCATGTAATGTGATTATTCTGAGTCTGTTCCAGTAAATGGAGGCTGGCAGGAGAAACAGAGACGTCTCGGGATGTTTTTTTGTGCGAATGGAGAGTGGAAGTCTTAGTTTAGTGATTAAAAATGTCTCTCATTTTCATACGTTTGTGTTGAACACATTTACACAAGACATTTCAAACAAGATATTATTGTTCATTTGAAATGAGTATTTGATGCACTTCTAAAGATCACATTGCAAAGCTCCCTTGCCAGATCATTTTTGAGTCTCAAGACCCGCCCCCTTTAGTTACTGTTGCTATGTCCAACAAGCTACACTGTTTTCACGCCACACACACACACCATGTTCTCACGCAGTGAAGACCAGCTTCCTTTTGATATGAAACAGTCTCGCCTTTCAAATGTAGTCATTTTTTAACGAAATTTAAACTTTAATGTGTCTGACGGATCACTCAGTTAAAGCTGCTCACGAACCGATCATCTCTTCCTTATAGCATCAAATAAACATGAATGAACATCAGAAGGAATGTTGTTTTAACCGCGTAAAGACGTCAATACACCGTTTTTCAAGTTCAACGTTAATCAGACAAAATGGCGGATTATGATTGGTCAGATCGCCTGTCAAGGGTCAATTCAAGCAGCACTATTACAATGTTCAAAGTCATATATGTTTGTCATATATGTTTGATCATATGTTGTTACACACATGAATGCTTCCTCAAAACCAAATGCAAATGTCTAGTTCATCAGTGCAATCTCTTTCATGTTGTTTTTCGTCTGATTTCAGGTCAGTCTTCAGTGCTTGGAGAGTTTTCTGTGCACGTTTCACTGTGTGCGACACCTCGCTGAGCCGAAGGGAAAAGATGCGCTCAAATTCTGGTAAGCTTTTTCATGATGATCCACATCACTGTGTGTTTAAAGGTGCCATCTGGGAAAAAAAATCAATTCATACACCATATTCCATACCAGATGGAGGCAGTATACCTCCAGAAAAATACCTCCGCGGCCGCGCGCACTCATGTCTTCAAACAACACGGGCGAGCGGGTCTCCCTCACGCATATTAATCAGTAAAACTAATAGTAAAAGGTTGGAGGACCGCAGTTTCACGTGGATCATTTGGAGATTTTCAGAGATTAGAGACTAAATGAACAACATCTCAATACTAAATTATAAAGGCCGTCTCATTGACAAGCCGGTGCATTTCGACGATATGGGAAAATTAAAGCCCAGGCATTTTTAGTTTATGGTATTCGTTTTGTTCATGTTACATTTTTATCATTAGTTTGAATTAATTTGACAGACAGCATTCCCTGATGTGGACCAAGCTAGCGCCTTTCAGAGCTGCCAACTCTCACAAATTCACCGTGAGACACAACTTTTCACACACTCTCACGCCACATCCATTTTGTCATGCACAGAAAAGGACACAGAGACCGATCTCAGCTCTCAGATTCTGTTCATTTTATTACGCAATTCAAACAATAAATGTAGTTTTGGCGCTTGTAAATGTTAGACGACAGATCCCTAGCGCACGTGAACCGATCATCTCTACTAGCTAATGGTAAACGAACACGAACACTGTTGAAAGATATGTTACAACTTACCAATATGTATTCCTCATGCATAATATCGACAAATCATTTATTTAACTCATCCCTGAACTGAAATTTAGTAGCGGGCTGTATTTACTTACTCGTAGCGACTTTAGTAGCGACTTACTCGTGTTACTGCAGTTTGGCTGGTGGTAACGTTGCCCGCCCGCATACCGCCTCCCATGGCCGAAACTGGTATTACGACACCTGCCGGGCCGGGGCTAATAATTTAGCATGCTAATTTAGGTTATATCTCGGCAGCACTATAACTTGCCAGTTTTTTAATAACATCATTGCACTTATTTCTTCTCACTCTTTTGATGTGTGTAGCTCATTTTTTGGATATTTGTACCTCAATTATTCCATATGGCACCTTTAAGTGTTTTACCCAAAGAATAGTGAGAATTCTGTCATTTTGTCATGTGATCAGGAGCGTCATTTTAAACTTCTTTATATATTTAAATGCTTTTGCGTTCTCTCGTTAATGTTTTGCCTTTTGACCCCAAGACGTTTTACGTCTTGCAAAATATTTTTTTTTTAATTGAAGCTTGTTTCCACCACAGAATAAATCATTTTTAAAGATAATTGCCACTTTTTATTTCACAATTGCGAGTTTACATCTCATAATTCTGACTTTATTTCTCAGAATTGCGAGATATGTGATAAATAAACTCACAATTCTGACTTTTTTTTCTCGAATTTGCATGTTTATATCTCGCAATTCTGACATCTTTTCTCAAAATTGTGAGATATAAACACGCAATTGCAAGATATGAAGTCGAAAATTGCGTGTTATAAAGTCAGAATTGTGAGATAAAAAGTTGCAATTACCTTTTTTATTTTTTATTCTGTGGCGGAAACAAGCTTCCACACCCTTTAGGGTCTCCGTAATGCAACTTTTTGAGATCTTTTACGCACAGATCAGATTAAAGTTCTTGATCAGTGTGTTTTGTCTTATTTATTTGAACGCCCGATTACATATCCGGCCTCAGTGGGTTTAACCTTGTGTCTGAATAAACTCAACTAGAGCTCATGTTAATTAGCATTGTGTTGAGAGAGAACCTGATCGTTTGAGGCGAGCGATGAAAAGGCTTTCTTTGTCTGGCCGAGTGGCTACATGCCGTGAGCTCAATTAAGTGTGTTTTCTCAGCTCCTAATCTTTATCTCATGATCATGTGCAGTTCCTGGAACATTAGCCGAGACAAAGCTCATGTGAATGCATTAGCCTTCTCTTATTACTTGTGATTATTGCATATTATTGCCTTTGACCCTTTCAGAGTTTTTATCTTAGTTGAGCGAGATAATAAAGTAATGCAAAGTCTTATGTTGTTCCAAACTTATTTTCCATACATGAAGAAGATTTTCTCATCTGTCCACTTTATCAGAGGCATTGTCAAAGTGGAACAGGATTGGAGAGACTGGTAAAGTGGGACAGCTTATCAAGTAATGAGTTTATTATTAACTTGCATAGCTATAATAACGATAATGAAATGGGAGTGCTGTGCCATATATATTGGACATAGTATTTAGTGTATTTACACGTCACAAAATGTATTTCAGAATCAAATTCTTAGATTTTTTATATTAGCATATGTAGCTAACAAGCAAAAACAATATTTAAAATAAACTATACCGTCTACTATTGTCCCACTATGACAATCTTACCTGAAAAAAAACTACCTAAAAATACTTGATATTTCTTTGTTTTGCTTTTGACTAAGGTTAGGCAACACTTTACAATCTTACTTAACATTATTAAACTACATTAATTAACATCAACTAACGATGAACAAATGCCTGTAAAGCAAATCTTAATGTTAATTTTTTTCAAGTCTCTTATGCTCATAAAGGCTACTGCATTTATTTGATTAAAAATGCAATAAAAACAGTAATATTGTTAAAATTATGACAATGTAAAATAGCTGTTTCCTATTTGAATTTATTTTAAAATATAATTTTCTTCCTGTGATAAAGCTGTATTTTCAGCATCATTACTCCAGTCTTCAGTGTCACATAATCCTCCAGAAATCCCTCTAATATGAGGATCTGATGCTCAAGAAATATTCATTATTATTATCAAAGATGAAAACAGTTGTGGACTTTTTTTCAGGATTTTTACAGCAAAAACAATATTTAAAAAATAAACTATACCGTCTACTATTGTCCCACTATGACAATCTTACCTGAAATAAACAACCTAAAAATACTTTATTTCTTTGTTTTGCTTTTGACTAAGGTTAAGCAACACTTTACAATCAGGTTCCAATTGTTAACATTATTAAACTACATTAATTAACATCAACTAACAATGAACAAATGCTTGTAAAGCAAATCTTAATGTTAACTGCAACATACACTATTAAAATCAAAAGATGCATCTTTTAATATTATTTAATGGACCTGAGATAACATGAACTTGCTATGAACAGTTGCCATTTTATAAGTTAATGTTAAAGTAACAAATATTAATCTGTTGCTGTCTGGAATTTTGCATTAACATTTGCGAATAAAGCAGCGCTTCCATCCCATGTTTTCAAGAGAACAAAATCATAATTTACTGGGAAATTAATGCAAGATATCGGTTATGAAAATAGAAGTTGCTGCAATCAGGGAAGAAACTGTGGCTCTTTTTTCCTCCATTAGTGATAAAACACAATGCATTCTGTCATGTTCTCTTGCATTAGTGTTTGGGAACGCAATTATATGAGACACTTCTGGAGGGAATTAAACCAAATCATTCTGCTGACAGACTTTGACTCGGGCATTTCAGAATAACTAACATTTGAGAAACTTGCCAACGATGAGGGAAAGTCACGTGAGGTTTTTTTGTTTGTTGCACATCGATGGATTTATTCGGCAAAAGTTTTTCCATTGTAGTTCATGCGCATGTCGTCTTATCGGATACAAAAATTTACCCGACTCAAATGAGAACTCAAGTTTTTATGCACATTTTAGAATTTATTTAAAACAAAATCGCTGTTTAAATCCAGCATTTTTTAATTTTTAATGTCTCTAAACGAAGTCTCTCACAGATGCTCACAAAGGCTGCTGCATTTATTTGATCAAAATGCAATAAAAAACATTAATATTGTTAAATATTATGACAATTTAAAATAGCTGTTTTCTATTTGAATTTATTTTAAAATATATTTTTTTTCCTGTGATTTCATAGCATAATTACTCCAGTCTTTAGTGTCATGATCCTCCAGAAATCACTCTAATATGAGGATCTGATGCTCAAGAAATATTCATTATTATTATCAAAGATAAAAACAGTTGTGGACTTTTTTTCAGGATTTTTTGATGAATAAAAAAAAAAAAACATTTAAAAATCGTATCGATCCCAAATGTTTAAATTCGACTAAAAATAAGTGTGTGGAAACATGGCTAGTGTTGGTTCATGCATGAACCTAATGGTTAACCTTTGACCTTACTGTAAAGTATTACTGAGATGGGATTCTATACCAAAGCCGTATGCCATACTTTCGACTGTTGAACACTAAGATATTTAGAAAATTTTATTTTATTTATTTTTTCAACAATTTTCTAAATATCGTCTATTATTTTCCTTTCTATGTTCCAGAACATAGAGCAGAGCGGTAAGTAGCAGGATTGTTTCTGCATCCGACAAATGGCAGGTTCACCTTCTAAGCTTTACTACGAAATCTAATTACTCCAAGTCACCCCCGGGCTTGACCAGAAGTTTCCCAGCCTGCCCCTGTGCGGCCATGTGACATCACATGCTTTCATGTGATGCTCTGATCAACTCAAAATCTGGAAAGCTTCCATCTGAAATTCCAATTTAATGGAGTTTACGGAGCAGGACAGAAAAGTCAGTCTTTAGGGAAGCATGGAGGCATGCGGACGCAGGCTTGATTTTTACTACGACCATGAGTGGAATATGTGGCTGAAACACTGCGGATGATGGTGGAGGTTTTGGGTTCCACTGAAGGCCCGTTATAGGAGGTACGTCGGCTAGAATACTGAGTGTGTTTCTGGGTACTGTAGATTTAAAGAGGCGTGTCTTTTATGCTCCATCGGTGTGTGTGTGTGGCAGAGTCGGTGTGATGTAGATCATCTTAAAAGGCAGGCTTGTTATCACTTTAAGAAAATCAAATGGAAAGGAAAAAGTTTCAAATATTTACAGATGATTGTACTATATACCAAATATAATGCTGCATGAATGTTAAATATAGTCTGAAAATTCTGAAAAAATAATAATAATAATAAAAAATTATATTTTCATTGTTCTTATGTGAAATATAATATTCTTTTCCATTTATTTTAGCATTTATTCCTTTGATTTTGGAGTGTAATATGATGGATATTTATTGAGATCTCTCTTTATGTCTTCAAAATAATGCGGTTAGATCAGTGTTTGGGATTGCTTGAGACTGTTTGTTCTACTGACTGTATTTTGGGAACGTGAGACGGCTGAAATCGCGTCCAGCGGTTGATGTGGTGGATGGAATAACTGGTTGATGCGATACAGTACGCTTGGGTCCGTGTCTGATGACAGGATCTGCTGTCCATGAAGCCTAATCTTGTTGCATAACATCACTGTGGTTCCTGAGAGGCCTCGTATAGTCATTCAGGGGTTTTCATGGGTCAAAAATGGTGTGTTATGTTGCATTTACACTCCAAGACTTACTGCACAGATCATTCGTATCACTAGGGCTGCACGATTAATCGAAATGAAAACACACTTTATTTTATGCGCTGCTTGTCAGAGCTGATTGGTAGGAAAATGCTTCTCCATCTGAACACCAGAGGGCGTCTCACACACACAGCAAATCACGCCAAATCATCTGAACACCAGAGGGCATCTCTCATACACACACACGGCAAATATGCCCCGCAGAACTACAATAACACGCATCACTCCAGGAAATCCCTATCGCTGAAACTGATTAAACAGAAGATTGAAATGCTAAATGGATTTATTAAATATTTTCTTTTGTTGGACAAGAAGTTCAGAAATGCTTCTCATGTTTGTAAAGATGTTTGAGTTGCACATTATAAGCGACTCAAACTCGCAGTGCTTTCAGATTCGTTTACAGAGTCGTACATCAATGACGAAAAAATCGCAATTAATCGTGCAGCCCTAATTATCAGATATATATAAAAAAAATGTATATATAAAAAAAAGTTTGTATTATTTTCAATGGCAAAAATGGACCATAAATATTGCATAAATATTAATAAGTAACATCAAATTGGCTCAAAATACAAAATTAAAAAGAAAAAATATAACTGAACAAAAATAAATTGCATTGGTTTCACTGGGATGGAGAAAGTTTCATTTTAGGTGTCCGGTCACTTTTGACCGGGAAGATAACAAGTGTGACTCCGAAACGAAGGCTAGTGATTATACCATGATTCTACGCTTTTTCTCTATACTGTAACTAGATGGTGCTAATTTTCTTCAAAATTTTTTTTTGACTCTATAGTATACTAAAATACTGCATTCATAATTAAAAAAAAAAATTATATTATTTAGAAAAATATATATACTTTTCCATGGCAAAAATAAACCATAAATATTGCATAAATATTAATAAATTCAATCAAACTGTCTCAAAATACTAAATTAAAAAGAATAAATATTATAGAACAAAAATAAATTGCATTGGTTTTACTGGGATGGAGAAAGTTTCATTTTTAGGTGTCCGGTCACTTTTGACCGGGAAGATAACAAGTGTGACTCCGAAACGAAGAGCACCTGAGGGTTAAAAACAAATATATCGGCGCAATGTATGCTTTCAATCCGTGTTGTTTGCTATTATGGAACTATTTATTCAGATACCTCACAACCGCGTATAAACTTCCGCTCGATATTTGAGTCTGAAGCGTTAGCACACTCCCGACCACTTGATGGCGAAAACCAGGACGCTGTACGGAACACGGTGTCTAGCGCACCGTAAAAAAAGTCCGGGAGCACAGTTGCTCTGCTCACGCTAGCCTTCTGAGAGACGCAGAACCGAGCGAAAAGACTACAACCAAATGTAAACAGACCCCTTTCCTTTTCCGGTAGCTAGCCTAGCGCAGTAATATCAACGAGCACTGAGTCCTCCAGAAGACATCAATGTGATTTAAAAAAATGACAAATAAAACACGACAGAAACGGTATTTCGCTACGCTACTTGTTTCAGAACATCAACAAACACCACCAACCACTCGGTGAGTTGCACAGTTTTGAAAATGAACGTTAAAGGGTTAGTTCACCCAAAAATGAAAATTCTGTCAGTATTTACTCACCCTCATGTTGTTCCAACCCCGTAAGACGTTCATCATCGGAACACAAATTAAGATATTTAAGATATTAAGATCAATCCTGCATACTAGTCCATAGGCTTCTTGAGGGACTGGCTCTTGCTGTCCCCGAAAAGTCATTAAAGTCATCGTTAAAATAGTCCAAGTGACTACAGTGGCTCAATCTTAACTTTATCAAACGACGAGAACACTTTTGTGCGCAAAAAAACAACAAAAATAACGACTTTATTTCAACTATTCACTTCCTTCTCCATGAGCCTGTAGTCAGTTAACGTAGTGTGATTGCGTAAAGCTACGTCACACGTAGGCTCACTATTGGCCGACGCTGGTCATGTGTGTGTGATGCGTGTGACGTACAATAACAGAAGCTTACGCTATTAAACTAGTAACCTGACTCGCGCAGAGGGAGAAATAAACAAATAGTTGAAATAAAGTCATTATTTTTGTTGTTTTTTTGCGCACAAAAGTGTTCTCGTCGTTTGATAAACTTAAGATTGAGCCCCTGTAGTCACTTGGACTATTTTAACGATGTCTTTAATGACTTTTCGGGGACAGCAAGAGCCAGTCCCTCAAGAAGCCTATGGACTAGTATGCAGGATTGATCTTAATATCTTAAATATCTTAATTTGTGTTCCGAAGATGAACGAAGGTCTTACGGGGTTGGAACAACATGAGGGTGAGTAAATACTGACAGAATTTTCATTTTTGGGTGAACTAACCCTTTAAGGGTTGTTTTAAGGACATGTTTGTGTATGCCCATAGACAGCCAGTCTAACGCTCTCACAGGCGATTCTAAAAAAGTCAAAAATTCGAGACAGGAACCATTGTCGAAATTTCTAAGTCCACCACTCTATTTCATTCAAAACAAACTACAAAATAGACTCAAGGTGTTAAATACCAGAATCATCCTTTAAAAAACAACCACCACCACGTAATCTTACATGATCAAAACTACCTAAAATGACAGAAAACATCTTTGAAAAAAGTGTAATTTGATTGTTTAGTTTGCCTCACGTCCCATTAGACTACAAGAAGTGGGCGGGGTTTATGACCTATGCTGATACCAGCCACCAGGGGGCGATCGAGACGCTTGGGCTTTACTTTTCAGGACTTGTGTGGCACCATAGATATCTATGTAAAGGCTAGATATCTCGTCCACGCTGCTGGCCAGTGGAGGTCGACGTTCTCACCTGGCGGCCATCTTGTCACAGGCAGCTCGCTCACTGGTAACATTGTTTTAATGGTCCATGTACTTTTTAAATCACCATAATTTGCTCAATTTTCTACCGATTTTCAAACGGTCTGGTTTGTTATAAACGGCAGAGATGTAGTTATGATACTGCATACTTATGAATAATAAGTGTATAAATAAATAATCATCCAGAATTATATCCACGTTAATAAGATTTGTAAGAAACCAAACCGTTTGTAAATACGTCAAGATTTCAACGAGATAAGAGTATATCTTACATCAGATACCACAGAGCCCGCCAGAAAGCCTGTCTGTGACAAGATGGCCGCCGGTGATGACGATAAATACTCCGCCGTGAGACATCTAGCCTTTATATAGATATCTATGTGTGGCACGCTTAGTGCATGTCATTTATTACATTTATTTCATTGATATATTTTTGAATGGTTAATTGCATTATTCAAATGACTGAGCAAAACCATTTGCAAACATAGTCAGGATCTTAACTGCACTCCACAGACTGTACATATAATAAACAGTGGCAGATTTTCTTGTACCTAAAATGACTTTATGGAACATGAAACCATCTGAGCAGTTTCACTTGTTTTATTTATTGAGCAGTTTCACTTGTTTTATTTCTTGTTAATTTACACAAAAAGAGAACTTTGCAATGTTTCTGAAACTAAAGCCGTGAGATTGTTTGAGCGCCCTGGCAGGTGATTCACATGCACTCACGCTCTCGTTTTCTTTCCTCCATTAGCTCGGACATGAGTGGGGCCAGTAACACACTGGCTCGGGAGTTCCTGACGGATGTGCACCAGTTGTGTAGCGCCGTGGCCCAGCGGGCCGAGGACGAGGAGGAGAGTCACATGGTGGCTCTGGGAGAGTATCTGGTGCGCGGACGCGGATTCCTGCTCCTCAGCACCTTGGACTCTGTCATTGACCAGGTCGGTTAGATAAACTTCACTTCAGTGTACAGTTGTCAACATTTGAAGTGGATCAACAGTTGTCCTAAGACTGTTCAAAATTCATGTGTAACTTTGTGTAAAAAAATCTTATTCCAAACTTTTGACCACCAGTGTTTGAGATTGTAGTATTTACACCTGTGATAGACTGAGAAGCTAGAAACAAAAGTAATACATTGCAGAATTACACTTTTTAACGAAAAAGTTAACTATAAAAAGTAATCAATGCATTATTATAAGGAAGTGTCCATTACTCCTTTCCAATTGCTCCCGTCGTTCTGAAATAGCATGGCGATATGCGTCACAGTCGAGACATTAGACCATTGTGGTCATTCATACTGTATTATTTTTTTTTAAATCTATTTTATGGCCTGCTTGCAGGCTTAGTGAATGGCCCCTGGGAAATGTATGATTGCTGTTTCTTTCTTGGTCTTTACTTGCAGACATGAGGAAATCTACTGGAACATCATTGGTTTAGAGCAGTGAAGCCCTAAGTGCAGACATCCATCTCTCTCTAGACACATTGCAAGCGAGCTACACATTGTGACTGCAAAACTAGAAGACTCTTAGCAAGCAATGTTGTTTTTACATGCTTGAAATGCAGACTGCTTTGTTTATTGTAATGGGCAGTGTGTGTTGCTTTATATTACAGTGTAGACCAGGGTTATTATAGACCATTTTGCAAGATGTAAACAACACTGGTCCAGAAGCACTTCCTGTTTCAGTTTTTTAACACTACATAAAAGCTGGGATAAAATACAACCAACAGAATATATAAAACTGAATTTAAAAAGTTAAACAAACATCTTTAAGATGTATTTTTTACATGTGAAATAAAGAAAACACTCACAAACTGAAACAGGAAGTGTTTCTGGACCAGTGTTGTTCACATCTTGTGAAATGGTCTATAGTCAACTAAAACTAAAACCATTATAACATTTTTGTTGAAATGTTATAAAAAAAGAAAATAAATTTTAACTGAAATAAAATATAAGAAAACCTTAACAAATTTCAGCTAGTTGCCTATGCAACGTTTCTAATATTCATTTAGTTCAACTTGATGGGTCATAAATAACTACAACATAAACTGAAATAAAGATGATAAAAGACTATATAGACATAATAAAAATCTCAACAAAACTACTAAACCTTAAATTAAAATGGAAACAGAAAATATAAAAGTAAAAAATAAATAAAAATATTAATAAAACTATATATATATATATATATATATATATATATATATATTAGAATATTTATGTAAAAACATGTCAGTGTTATTTTACTATAATTTCAATGCTATTATAGTTGTATATATATAATAACATTAATATATATATATATATATATATATATATATATATAATTCATAATTTTGATGAGATTATAATATATAAATCTCATCAAAACTACTAAACCTTAAATTAAAATGGAAACAGAAAATATAAAAGTAAAAAAAAATATTAATAAAACTATATATATATTAGAATATTTATGTAAAAAATGTCAGTGTTATTTTACTATAATTTCAATGCTATTATAGTTATATATATATATAAAACTAAAACAATAATAGCATTGAAATTATAGTAAAATAACACTGACATGTCTTATTCTACTTATTAATTACTACGGGAAATAATTTCCATTCAGTTTACAATAAATGCAAAAATGCATTTATAATACATGCAAACAGAGCTAGTTTTCTATAGAAACTTGAAGCTTGTATTTTTGACATTTAAATTGTCTTTTCCAATGTTTTAAATTGATTCATGAGTAAAAATAGTTTCTGTTAATCAGAATTTGGCATTATGTCGAAGAAAATGACGGGTGTATTTGGTCCCATGTTTTTCCTCTCCTTCATTATCTCTCTTTGAAGTGCGAGTTCTAATGAATCGTGTCTGGAGTGGTTCTTACTCGCAAGACACGAGCCTTTTCTCTGAACTCGGCATCTCTCAACACAACATCAATCGCCTGTGTGTTTGCATAGTAGTGGCTCCTCAGCCACTTTGCTAATTACCTCATGAGTTTTCTGCCAGATGCATGTTTACTCGGGGTCACACAGCACTGTGGCAGGCAGCCCCTTGTATTTGCTTTTAATTCACACGTTTCAGAGTGCTTTCTCTTCTCCTTGTGAGGAATGCTTTCTTGCTGAGGGTGGAGCCACTATTTAGAGACCTCACGTCCAACAAACCTGTGTTTTCCTGAAGCCGTTGGCCGAAGGATACTGTTTTTGTTGTCTGTAATTGTCCATCTTCTGCATAGCGCTGGAAACTAGCTTGCCAAGAGAGGCATGGTACTATGAAGCAGAAGTGAGAAACGTAATCTGCTTCCAGGTGGCCTTCAACACTAGAAGACTGTTTTTGATTGGATTTGCACGGACATGGTCAAGAATTCTGTTTAAATCTAGAATTAACCTCTCAAACCTTTTACTTAGGAGCTGACCTGTCGGGAAGAGCTGCTTACACTCTTGTTGTCTCTGCTACCTCTGGTCTGGAAGATTCCCGTTCAGGAGGAGAAAGCACCAGGTGAGAGTCACTATTAATAATGCATCCTTTTAACAATCTTAATTTTGAGAATGCACTTTAACCCGCCTTGAACTTTGAATTAAATAATTATGTGTAATATTAAATGGCATCTTGGCATTGCATTCAGTTGGAAATTTGATATACTTCTACATGATATGTTTTATAAAGCATATGATGTGAGGACGCCATGAATTGTTAAGTGGCTGCCTGCAAGAACAACAAGTGAAACGATGAGATGGCTTTAATTATGAAACAGTACAGTTAATGAATGAGGATAATACTTTTCATTGAGCTTTAGAACTAAGATATTTAGTGCAGGCATGCTAATCTTTTCTAACAGCTGCTTTTCACATTGTTGAGTTATTAGTTCCCGTAATTGTGAGAGCCATCACATCATAGAGCCTGACCAATAAAGGATTTTGAAGGCCGATACCGATACAAATATTTATTGGTTTTAAAGCCCGATATTCCGATATATATCGGACGATATTTTTTATTATTATTTTTTTTAATTTCAGAAATGCGCTACAAAACATTAACAGATTTCCCTAACATTAGTTATTTGTAGTTATTTATGAGTTTTAACCAAAATAATGATAATGCATTTTAAAAAGAAACGTTTCTTTTATTGTCACAACAGAACAGAGGAACATCAAAATATATTAAAATTCTGATAAATAAAATAGCAATTAGTCCCTACGTTGCCTTATAAGCTACCTTATTATTACAATGTCAGCTTGCTTATCCCTTTACCTGCACTTTTTAAACTCTTTCCATCAAGCTACATCAAATCATCAGTTGCCGTCTGCCTTCGAAAACTTTGCGATTCTAAATCCATTACAGAACGACAGTCTGCAACGCACATTTGGCGTCGTTGGATTTCACACACGTGTAAAAGAAAAGCTAACTTTTATGCACAGGATGTGTGGCGCGTTATACACGAGTGTTGCCAACAGGAACAGTGTAGAGTGCCCTCTGGTGGACAAACTATACAACTCCAACACTCATGACATGATTGAAGCGTGTTTCGTCCGTTTTTATTTTATTTTTGAAATATTAATTTATCGACCATTATAACTAGGGTTGGGAATCGTGAGAAATTTTCCGGTTCCGGTTCCGATTCCGGTTCCGCCAAACGATTCCGGTTCCGCCAAACGATTCCGGTTCCGGTTCCGGTTCCCATTCAATTAAAAATATTAGTAAGAGAAAAATCCACAATCCTTTTTGTGTTTATTTCTTATAGTACATGACAAATTAGTTTAACAGACTGGTTATGTAAACAAACTCAAAATATTATTAAGCAATCTTTGCAAAAAAAAAAAAAAAATTATATATAAAGGAAATTAAAAAATTCTGCATTCTCTATAATAATTTAGACCTCTCCTTTATTGTATCTCCAACAGTGAAGAATACCCTCTCAGAAGGAATAGTATATGCTTTAACACACATCTGTGTGTAGAACAGACTATTTTTTAAAACGGTTTGAATGATTGATTCATAAAGACTTTACTTATTTCATTACTGGATAAATCGGCGCTCTAGCAGTTAATAAACAGAACTGCATGCGTATTGCGGAAGAACATTGTTGCCGGAGCTACTTCTCTCTGTTTATGTCCATGACGAGTCACGCAGGCATTGGGCTACTCCGCAGCAGCTGCGATCCGCCGGCCAGTCTAAAGAAGTCCGAGTATTAACGCTTATTACAGGCTTTACGTAGTGATTCAAGATAAGACAAAAACACGGTTTGAAAAAAAAACATTATGATGCACTCGCTCATTGTATATATTTTGTAAATTCTGAACACAAAAAATATACGGACTGCATCTGTTTTGACCACTAACGGAAATCATTTGAATATGTGAAACAAATAAATATTGAGACTGTGTGATTGTAAAGCAGTTTCATATCGACAACTGCTCTCTCTCTCTCTCAGCGCAAATAGATTTGAATGTAGGCTAGAGAGTGACTCGGCGGTCGGCGCGCGCAGCGTGCGTGTGTCTGTGTGTGACAAATGCAGCGCGTGTGAGAGCAAATCGCAACTTCAGTGGTGAAGTTTTTGTCATTTAGGAATAAGACGGCGTCTTCTACTCCCAGCACTTCGCCCACATGATGATATCGCATCGGCATCAGAACCGTTTTCGGAACCGAAACTTAGGAATTTTGCACGGTTCCGGTATTTTTTCAAAAACACAACCGGTTCTGGAAAAGAACCGGTTCTCGGTTCCCAACCCTAATTATAACTGCCAATACTGATAGTTTGGAAAATGCCTAATATCGGCCTGCGATAAATCGGTCTGGCTCTACATCATCGGCCATTATAACTGCCGATACCGATAGTTTGGAAAATGCCTAATATCAGTCGATAATATCGGTCTGCCGATAAATCGGTCTGGCTCTACATCATCGGCCATTATAACTGCCGATACCGATAGTTTGGAAATGCCCAATATCGGCGTGCTGATAATATAGGCCTGTCGATAAATCGGTCTGGCTCTACATCATCGGCCATTATAACTGCCGATACCGATAAATCGGCAGTTTTAATGGCAGATAAATGAATATTACAAATATTTCATTTATCGGCCATTATAACTGCCGATACCGATAGTTTGGAAATGCCTAATATCGGCCGATAATATCGGCGTGCTGATAATCGGTCTGGCTCTACATCATCGGCCATTATAACTGCTGATACCGATAATTTGGAAAATGTCTAATATCGGCCGATAATATCGGCCTGCCGATAAATCGGTCTGGCTCTACATCATCATGACTTGCTCTAATGAAACCTGGTTGTATAACTGGTTTAAACCTATTCCTTTTCTACTCTGCTTTTTTATATCTTAGATTTCACCCTGCCTTCACTACTTGAGGTGTTTCTATGCCAAGAGGGGAAGACCATCCCTCAGAAGGCGGGGCAAGATAGATGTGATGTACAGAACTCTGGGAAGCGTTTATCTGGCTCCTGGAAGTCACGGCGTTCACGCAGAACTGCTCAGCGATACTCTGTAAAGGATGCACGCAAATCTCAGCTTTCCACGTCAGATTCCGAAGCCAACTCGGACGATAAAACCACAAACACTGGGAGCAAGCATCGCAGATTCCAAAGTTCGGCCATTCGCGTAAGCTGCCAGCTTCACCAGTCCAACAATTCATCACAACCAGCATTGCAACATCCCACTCTCGAAGCCATGAGCACCGTTGAGCCATCCCAACCTCACGTGAGACTATTTGGATCTCACACACTGGATCCTAACATGCTAACAGACCCGACAACTCTTTCAATCTTCAACCGAATGGAGAACTCGCCTTTTGACCTTTGCCATGTTCTGCTCTCCCTTCTGGAAAAGGTCTGCAAATTTGACATGACCATCAATCATAACCCAGGCTTGGCAGTCAGCGTCGTTCCCACGCTCACGGAGATACTCACAGAGTTCGGTGACTGCTGTTGTCCCGGTGGGATCGACGAGCTAGCTGGAGGCTGGACTGAGGAGCCAATCGCGCTTGTCCAACGAATGCTTTTACGCACCATTCTGCACTTGTTGTTTGTAGATGTGGGTCAAAACGAAACGCTGCCTGATAACCTGCGTCGAAGCTTGACTGACCTCCTCAGAGCAACGTTAAAGATCCGTACCTGTTTAGAAAGGCAAGCTGACCCTTTCGCTCCAAGGCCAAAGAAGACTCTGCAAGAGATACAAGAAGATTTTTCCTTTTCAAGGTTTCGCCATCGGGCTTTGCTGCTGCCAGAACTTTTGGAGGGTGTCCTACAACTTCTACTGGGTTGCTTGCAAGCCTCTGCTTCCAACCCTTTCTTTTTCAGTCAGTCTCTTGAGTTAGTTCATGAATTCGTGCAACACCGTGGCTTGGAGCTTTTCGAGGCGACCGCTCTGCGGCTTGAGGCCTTAGCAGAAGCTCGAGATTCAGAAATCGGGAATGAGGCATCAGAGCACCTGCGTTGTCTGATAGCCGATGTGCTTAAGATAATCAGTGCCGTGAAGAGAGCCAAGTCGGAGCAGCTACACCAGTCTGTTTGTGCACGCCGTCGACACCGTCGCTGCGAGTACTCCCACTTTTTGCACCATCATCGTGACCTCTCAGGACTGCCGGTATCCGCTTTCAAGCAAGCAGCGCGACTTAATCCCTTTGAGGAGGACTCTGAAGGTCATGGCGGAGAAGTGCGTTACCCTGAACGCTGTTGTTGCCTTGCGGCTTGTGCCCACCAGTGTTTGCGTCTTTTTCAACGCCTTTCGCCCTCGGGTCCTGCCGTGTTGCAGGTGCTTGCGGGAGTTCAAGCTGTTGGCATCTGTTGCTGCATGGATCCGAGATCTGTAATAGGACCCATGCTCCGAGCATTTCAGGCTCCCGGACTGCGGAGCTACCAATCCCATGTTTTGAGTGTCCTTAGTAGACTTGTCTTAGAACAACTCGGAGGTGGTCAGCCCTCTGAAAAGGCCAAGCTTGCCTCCTGCAACATCTGCACTTTGGATAGCAGCCAGTTACCTGGGCTTGATGAGACTCTACAAGGCTACGGACCTAAGAAGGAATTGAGCTTATCCACATCCCCATCTCCATCTTATCGTTTCCAAGGGATCCTGCCCAGTGGAGGAGCTGAAGATATGCTATGGAAGTGGGATGCTTTAGAGGCCTATCAGGAGCTTGTGTTTGGGGAGGACCGGCATTTGAGTCAACAGATTGCCAGTCATGTGTGCCAGCTGACTTTGCGAGGCAATGCAGTTGTGCAGTGGCAACTCTACACTCATATTTTTAACCCTGTGCTACAGCGGGGTGTGGAACTGAGCCATCATGCCCAGCAACTTGGTGTGACAACTACTTGTAGCCAGGTTTGCAGCTACCATAGCCATTGCCTCCCAGTTGAGGTACTGCTGGTTTATCTTCAGACTCTGCCTGCTCTGCTCAAGTCAAGGTATGATTGCATTTCCTCTATTCATTTTGCTTATTATTATCAGAGCCCGTCTAACGGAGAGCCTTGGCACTTCCTATTAGCCCCGTTGTGTGTCATCTTGGTTGCAGTTCCGTTAGAATTCCACTGGAGGTGATCACGGGCGAGAGCAGAATGAATGGGAGTCTATGGGGCTAAACGGCTAAATGTGTCTCTTTCACCTGCTTGTCGTTGAATCAACATAGATTTTATTGTTGATTCCGCAAGTTCAATATAGATTATAGACCAAAAGTCGAATGAACGAGTACTTATGTCCTTTCGATGTCTTACAGGTTAGGCCGTTGTTGGCCAGAACACGCTAGCATTCTGCTATTGTGTGACGTCATCACATTTTTGAACGGATAAGTGAACTTAAAAATGTAATTTTCAGCTGAGTGTATTATCTTAGCCCTCCCTTTTGAATGCAACTTTCAAATTACTTGACAAAAAATTACATCCCGAGAAAAGTGGATTTCTGGGGGACTCCCATTCATTCTGCACTCGACCGCGAGCGCCCCCGCATGGACAGAGACGCGTTACTACAGCCAGTCTAGAAACCGGGAGTAACCAGCCAGTGCCAGTTCTCTTCAATTAGACATTCTCTGATATTATTCACTGTTGTTTAGGTTCTTTAAATCAGTCCCCCGTGGTGAAAATCAAGCGTTTAATGTGTTTTATGTGTTGTGCGTTAACACCCAGTGAAGAAGAGACGAACACAACACATGAATATGGATGTCAGACAGAAACTAGTGTTTCAAACTGTTTGCATGATGATTTGCTCTGAGAAAAAAAAAAAGAATTACCCGGTGACCTCAACCCATGCCTTTCTCTGATTGGCTGGAGCTCATGACGTCACTGAGGTTGAGTCGCACGACAGCTCTGGATATCTAGCATGCTAGATATTTTTCTGGGCTCGGGGAGGCGTCTGTGATGCGTTGTTGGCTCTTTGATACTAACAGATTGGCAAGTGTTCATCGTCTGCTAATCCCCCGCGATTTGCATGCGATAACACCCTGACCTTAACGATTTGCAAATTGGGCTTAAAATCCTGTAGTGTGAACTTGACTTAATATGTTTTTATTCAAACCATGTGCAAATTCATAAGTCGACACCATTGTTGAGTATTTTCTCCTTAAAACTGCAATCGCAAAAACGTGGTTTGAAATCGCTGGTGTTTCTGACGTCACAAACTACCTTGTAACCAATCAGATCAACGTGTGATCGTGCGATCGAGCTGTGTGAGTGAGTGGAGGCGGGGCTCATTTGCATATATTTGCCTGCCAGCAGCCATATCTAGTAGGGGTGTCGAAATTAATCGTTACTGTGATGCAGACGAGGATAGTTCAGTAATAGACCATATTGGATTATAATGTACTGACGCTTTTCTGACGTCATTTGTCACGTGTGCGCTCTGTCGCGGTAGTGTACAATGGCAGAGGGAGGCAGTGCAAGATAGTCTTTGTGTTTTATTTAACATAAGCTTACTTGGCTATTTATAATATATAAATGTAACAAATTATTATTATATTTATAATACCGTATTTACTAAATGAGGTAAGGGTGTGGAGTTACCTTAAAGGGTTAGTTCACCCAAAAATGAAAGTTCTGTCAGTATTTACTCACCCTCATGTTGTTCCAACCCCGTAAGACCTTCGTTCATCTTCGCAACACAAATTAAGATATTTAAGATATTAAGATCAATCCTGCATACTAGTCCATAGGCTTCTTGGACTAGTAATTAAAAGTCATTAAAGACATCGTTAAAATAGTCCAAGTGACTACAGTGGCTCAATCTTAAGTTTATCAAACGACGAGAACACTTTTGTGCGCAAAAAACAACAAAAATAACAACTTTCAACTATTCGTTTATTTCTCCCTCTGCGCGAGTCAGGTTACTAGTTTAATAGCGTAAGCTTCTGTTATTGTACGTCACACGCATCACACACATGACCAGCGTCGGCCAATAGTGAGCCTACGTGTGACGTAGCTTTACGCAATCACACTACGTTAACTGACTACAGGCCCATGGAGAAGGAAGTGAATAGTTGAAATAAAGTCGTTATTTTTGTTGTTTTTTTGCGCACAAAAGTGTTCTCGTCGTTTGATAAACTTAAGATTGAGCCCCTGTAGTCACTTGGACTATTTTAACGATGTCTTTAATGACTTTTCAAGGCCATCAATTGTCATTCCCTCAAGAAGCCTATGGACTAGTATGCAGGATTGATCTTAATATCTTAAATATCTTAATTTGTGTCCCGAAGATGAACGAAGGTCTTACGGGGTTGGAACAACATGAGGGTGAGTAAATACTGACAGAATGTTCATTTTTGGGTGAACTAACCCTTTAAAGCTATTTTAAGTCATGAAGAAATTTTCTTTTAAGGAAAAAACGTTTAAATATGTCATTTTGGTGATCAAAGATGAGTTTTAAGTGCTAAAATGATTGTCTACCGGGGGACTTTAAAATAAACTCTGATGTTTACTGAATTTCTTGTGTTTTGTTTCCACTCAGCCGGGTGGTACGCGACCTGTTCCTGAGTTGTAACGGGCTGAACCAGGTCACAGAGTTGATCTACTTGGACTGCACTCGTCCGTGGGTGCTAAAAGTGTTCGAGACGCTTATCTTGAATGCGTGGCACCATCACACAGAATCTGCCGTGCATGAGCTAGAAGGAGCAGAAGCTCAGGAGAGGGAAGCTGTCCTTGGACTGTTCGAGGAATTGAGTTCACGTGGGGCTGGTGACGTTCCCCAGAGCCTCACTAAGTTTTACGAAGGCTTGAAAGAGGCATGCCCTCACCCGAAGGCCAAAAGTGGAACAAGTGCAGTTGGACATAACCGGGGTGAGGCACATTTGAACACGATCAACCTTTTTCTGTGCGTCGCCTTCCTATGCGTGAGCAAGGAGCCGGACTCAGACCTAGACTCTGCAAATGACTCTGAAGACACTTCCGGATATGATAGTACAGCCAGTGAACCATTGGGTGGGCGTCTACCTTGCCTTTCCCCAGACAATGTGGCTCTTCCTTCTAAAGAGCAGGTAAGGAGGGCTGCCGATGTTTGGTCGGTTTGCCGTTGGGTGTACATGGCCAGTCCAGTGTTTCAGAGGCAGTTCTTCAGACTGGGAGGACTAGATGTCTGTTCACGTCTAATGACGATGGTCATCCAGAAACTCACATCTAAAAACAAAGACTGCAAACCTAAGAAAAAGAGGGAGAGTAAAGGCAAAAGCAGTCCACCTCATGTAGACTCTCCCTCTCAAGCTCAAGGGCAGTTTGACAATATACCGACACCTCAACAGCATGAACTTAGTGACACTCTCAGCCCTTCTCAGGTCCAACACAAGTTAAGTGACCCAACGCACAGGCTTGAAGAGGAATGGCCGCTCCAGAGTATACGACTGCTGGAGGCTCTTTTGGCTATTTGCCTCCACAGTGCCAATTCAGCCCTACAGAGACTTGAACCAGACCTTTCCTTTCAGGTACAGTTGACATACACACTAGCTCTGTTTCAAACAGTGTTGGGTAAGTTACTCTAAAAAAGTAATTAATTACTAGTTACTAATTACCTCTTCAACAGTGTAATTAGATTACTGTACTTTATTTAATTACTAATTACTTTCAAAATCCCATATCAATCTCAACCAGCTGAATAATACAAGGATAGACATGAATCTGTTTTAATTCTTTCAAATAAATACTATGAATTATCCTTAAACTGACCAAGGTGGAGAAGGATACATTATAAAAACATACTTTTTAACATCAGACAATACATCTTGATGTTAAACCCACTGTTGTTTTACAGTATGTCTGATCTCATGACATTTCACACTTTTTTCATAAATATTTTACAATAATTCATACGAATTTGTACGAGTGCGGTCGTAAAATTTTATACACCTCATAAAATGCATACGAATCGCTATGAGATCGGATTGATCTATACACAGTATTTACCTCAATTACATCAGAAGTAACTGTAATTATATTACAGAGAAATTAAGAGTAATCCCTTTACATTTTCAAGGGAAAAATAATTAAATTACAGTAACTAATTACTTAGTAATTAGTTACACCCAACACTGGTTTCAAACCCTAGAGATCTGAATAATAAGAAGATGTGCACGCATTCGAACGCAAGAACGAGTCCCGTGTGAACGGCTTGCTAGGAAGACTCGGCTAATTTAAGACGTCTGATATCATCTGTTAAGTGTGATATGATGTAAAGCTAACAACTTAACACCCTAAAGCCCAAAGTAGACTTCAGCTTTGATGTGAATGCCAAGTGTATTCGTACAGCTGAATGCAAGACCTTTCATTTGATAGTGAGCACAAGCGCACTGGAATGTTTCATTTTTGTCCAGTGTCTGCGCTATTTCTCTCCAGAAGTTATCACCCATAAAAATTCTCTTGTTTACGTTAGACTTTTTAAATCTCTAAATACCCGTCAATTAATTTTTAATGATAAAAAGCTTTTTATTTTTGTTTAACTTCACTTTTATCATGATCTTCCAGGGCGAGAATATAGGCTAGATTACGCATTTGTTTGTTTATTAAGAGAACAGAAACAGAAACTGTTCGTAATTCCACACAAAAGCAGATGAATGTACTATTTTCCTGTGGTAAAACACAACATTTTGTGCCTGAACAGGCAACACAATATTACAAAATACAATTACGATTAAAATATGGACAAAACACGAGGTTGATTTTCTGTATCTGCGTGAACTCAAAACTTCCCCCTGGTCCGCTTGGACTTAAACTGGGTGTTCGCATGTGCAAAGTTTTAGCCTTAAAGGAGTAGTTCACTTTAAAAAAAAAAAAAAAACTTTAGCTGATAATTTACTCGCCCCCATGTCATCCAAGATGTCCGTGTCATTCATTCTTCAATCGAAAAGAAAGGTTTTTGATGAAAACATTCCAGGATTTTTCTCCATGTAATGTCAATGGGGTCCAAACGGTTCAAGGTCCAAAAGAGAGTTTCAGTGCAAACTGTTCAAAGGGCTTTAAATGATTCTTATCAAGCGAAACAATCGCTCATTTAATAAATAAATAACAAAGTTTAAGTTTTATAAGCTCAAATGCTCGCCTTGCTCTGTTCTGTGATGTGCGTTCGTGACTCTCCTGTTCGAACTCCTTTCCGAATCCTTTTCCGAGTCAATTCGTTCATTTCGTTCGTTGAATCAATCAAATGACACGAAAAAAGATTTGTTTGTTTTGATGAACGAGTTCGAACAGGAGACGGTGGCAAGGAACCAAAACGCCATCAGTGACAGAATGGAGAAAAAAACCTTGGCTCAGTTCTCCTCTGGCCAATGAACAAACAGCGAATGATTATGATTCATGCAACATTATAGGTCAGAACAATATCCAAAGCATCATAATTTTTTCTTTTCACTGTGCTCATTGCACTGTGATTACCTTCTTTATAAGGGTGTATGCATGAGATGTTGCTTCATGAGTGTGTCTTAACACAGGGACTGTCTATGAATGCAAACTACAAACAACATATTCTCTATGACTAAATTTTCCCACGTCTATCCCGTAGCTGCAGTCTGTGGACGAGACCCTGTGTGAGGTCAGGGATCAGCTCTCTCGATCTGGAGTCGTGAACTCTGAACTGGCGGTTCCTCTGTTTGATTCCTTACTCCGTGTGGCACTGGCCGAGATGTTCAGCAGTCCAGATGTCATCGAGGAGAAACCTGACAAGGTAATTTGGTTGCTTGTTTAATAAATCTTGTCCCTGTCAGAGGTATGCTTGGCGCTGTACAGCTTTGAGTCTGGCCTATTCAACACGTCACAAAGTTGCGTGTTTGAAACGACAGATCTCGACCTGTGGCATATAGTCTCTTTTTTGCATGACATGTGGACTTAATAATTCCTTATCTTGAGGAAAATAAGCAAGCTGGCATTCAGTATAGTCTATATATTTTATTTTGAATATTTACAAAGGTCATTCATTTATGTCTTTTAGCTTGTCGAGATGAAAAGCGTTGTTATTAAAGAGTGCGCATGTGTGAAGGAGCGCTAGTACGCAAGAACGAGCATACGATTGAATCTGCAAATAAAGCAAAATACCTGAGAATAAATGAGAAATAGTCCTCACATGGCCATGTCTGTAGTTCACATTTTTGCGAACGACAAATTTGCGACTGTAAGGTTTCGGGAAACTAGCTAGTTGATTTCTTCCACGATTCAGCGTACTATGGTAGTAAAGCAGCGAGTTACGTCGTTATATGGGAACACACCCCTGTGTGTTTCCCATATCTAAAACTTAAAACGATGTTTATTTAACCCTCTGGGGTTGTTAGTTTCAAAGTCACACTCGGGATGTTCAGGTCCAAATGGACCCAAAGGGCAGGATTCATATTTAAAAAAAAAAAATCATGATTTTTTTTTTTTTTTTTTTTTTTACTTTTTTGGTGTTTTGAGAAAATTTCAAAAAAAAAAAATGTATAATTAGTATTAATGCAATAATTATGACAAAATTTCCCCCCATTGAACATAATAGAAAAAATATTTTTTTCAAAATATTTTTTTACATTTTTTTTAAAGCTGAGTCAAGCCTAGGCCTCATAAAAGCAATTTTTGAAATGAGATGGATGCCATGTGGTGGACAAACGGAGCATTTTAAAAATGCAGAACACATGTATAATCTGAATTTTTTGGTGTGTTTCTGTATAAAAGTGTGTTTGTGTGTGTGTCTGTTTTGCACTCTTGATGTTTTATAGATTCACCCCTTCACTGTTGTGTGCTTTTTTTCAAGATCGTGGCTGATTTGTAGATTGTACGCACAAAAAAACTCAGTATTTTCACATTTTTGCCAATTTCCCATTCATTTTCCATGCGGGTCCATTTGGACCCGAACACCCCAAGTGTGACTATTTTTTTTACAACCACTCAGACTATTCACATCCTGTCCCCAATTTTTTGGGTGTTCAAATACCAAATACCAACAAAGTCACCAAATTTCGGACCATTCCGAGGAAGCGGTGATTAAAAAAAATAAATAAATAAATTTAAATTCTCCATTTTGGCCGAACAACCCCAGAGGGTTAATTTGTATTTTCGTTTTTATTTGTCTGTTTAGTTTGTAATTAATTGTTCTTATTGTGTTGCTGACTGTTTGTTTGTTTTATCTAATTGTTTTAAAGACTTTGATCATATCGCCCACCAATAATCGTATTTAAAAAAAATTGTGATTTTAGTATTTATCAAAAATAATCGTGATTATGATTTTTGCCATGATCGAGCAGTCCTAGTGTGTTGCAAATAATGCTCTACTGAGACATTCACATAGTTCAAATTAAATAAGCACTTTCCTATCATTAGGATGCTTTGGAAGGTAATGTTATTTTTAGTCCAGTGATTCTTTATCGCTCATCTCTATTTTTTATCACACTATTATGCCATAATGTGACAATATTTGGGGCTTAATTACAAAAAAAGCTATTTTTTGGACTAACAAGTAAGTTTTGAGTTCTGAAACTGACCTCTAACATGTAAATTAGATTTCTCAATTCACGACAACTTTAATTAATTTTTATTTGTACGTCTTTAAAACCTTCTTTAAATACTTCTATCATTTTTTACAAGATTTATATCATTTGCCTTTAGGGAAAAAGATTTATGTATTTTCTTCTGAGCATTCTTGTCTGTAGTGGAATACATCACCGAGTAATTCCCAAATAAAACTATAATTTGGACTCGAGTAAGATTTGTTTTGGCACTCATGCTACTTCAATGAGCAAATCTGCTTTCTGAAATACAATGACCTCTGGCCAAACATAAACGGATAAGCAGCCTTTTTGTGTGTGTGTGTGTGTGTGTGTGTGTGTGATCGAGCAGCGTGGGGCTCATGGGGGCTATATTTTATGTGGAGGCCGTCAGCTGATGTGGTCCTGTGACCAAAGTAATATATCTTTTTTTTTCTTTTAACCAGCTTTCTGAAATCACTAACTTTGTCTCTCTAACAACGACAACACCAGACGCAATGTTATAAGGATTATTTACTTTATTACTTTATTCTGAAAAGGGCTAATTTTCCAGAAGGTAAGAGTTTGCTGCGTCTGTTTAACTACAGTTTTTTTTAACTTATTTAATATTTAAATATTTAATAGTTTCCACTACGGGGAAATGAAAGCATTACAATTTAGAAGTGGGTACTGTGTGTGTTTATGTAAGAGGCTTTTCTTACTGACTTTGATGCTTGAACACAGTGTACTTTTATTTATTTATTTATTTATTTTTACCTCTCTGATAGTGTCATTCTAATTGCCTAACATTACCAAATGCTAAAGTTTTGAAACAAACTACAGTGGTTTGAGGTATTAGGATGACGCGTATATGCTAGGTACAGTATCTTTACGATGCAGTGTTTTGAACAGATTTGTCTGAACAGAATAATCATTTTAATAAAATGTTAGTAATTATTACATATTGAATTTATTAATCTGTTTGATTTTAATTGTTCCTTAATTCATTTATATTTATACTATTTTTATATTATTATCATCCATCAATTTTATTACTATATATTAAAAATGAACTTTAATGAAAGTTAATTGTTTCATCTATTTTATTATTATTATTTCATATTGTGCTCGCTTCTAAAATAAAAGTTTGTTTTTATATAATATGTGTGTGTATATATATTACATATATATATATATATATATAAATATTTATATTTGTGTGCACAGACACACACACATTACATATTAATAAACACATAATATAAAAAAATTATATAAACAAACTGTTATTTTTGAATCGATTAATCGATTTGACAGCACTAATATTTATCCTTCCCTCCATCTAGTAGTTACAGTAATAATAAAGTCAACATTTTAATAATTATATTGACAAAGTGCTATATTGGTAACAATTTACAATAAGGGTTCATTAGTTAACTTTAGTTAACATGAACTAAGAATGAACAATACTTCTACAGTATTTATTAATCTTAATTAATGTGAATTTCAACATTTACTAATACATTATCAAAATCAAAGGTTGTGTTTGTTGACATTAGTTAATGCACTGTGAACTAACATCAACAGAGATGAATAAATACTGTAACAAATGTAATGCTCATTGTTAGTTCATGTTATTGTAAAGTGTTACCATTTATATTTTAGAATAATGTTGAATATATTTGTTATTTCTTAATGAATGTATATTATTCTTATATAATAATTAGGGCTGTCAGTTAAACTCGCTATTAACCCATTTTAACAATCTTTTGATTTTAAGATTAATAATCTTTTTGGCCTAGCAAACTTTGTTGTGTGAAATTAAAAACAAGCAGATCCACTTTTCCATGTTGATAAGAGCATTAAAATGAGAAAAAATCATTTAGAATAGATGATTAATTGCGATTAATCGTGAGTTAACTATGACATTAATGCGATTAATCGCGATGAAATATATTAATCGTTTGACAGCACTAATAATAATCCATCTGTCTCTCCGTCTGTCCCGCTCAGAAGCCTCCGGTCAGCGGTGAGCCGGCTCGTCCAGCAGGAGATCTCTCTGAAGAGGTGGATGAAGCTCAGGTGAGCAGCGCTGCACCCGTGGGTGAGGAGGAGGGCTATGACGCAGACAGTGAGAGTAACCCTGAGGACTCCACCCGTCAGGAGGAAGGTACTAGCGTCATAACTTCATACTTACATGCATCGTGCTGATCATCAGTGTCAAACTAACAAGATGTCACTTGTATTTGACTGTAAGAGGAGTGTATGAACGCATTACCAAGAGCCAAAAGTGTCATGCATGTGTAGTTTTGTAGGCTTTAAGGCTCATTACGTACATAAAATGAACGTGAAAATACTTAGCATTGTAGTTAGCAAGGCTGAGTTGTCCATAGTCACTGAAAGGATATTTGACTGTAAAATGTAAATGAGTTTGAGAGGAGTGTATGAACTTATTATCAGGGTGTCGTGCATGTGTAGTTTTGTAGGCTTTAAGGCTCATTATATACTTAGCGTTGCTGTTAGCAAGGCGAGACGTCCAAAGTAATTTGTTGGCGGATGATCTGGAATGCGTTAGCCGCCGGTTTGTGGCGGTTAGCATCAGGTAGGCTGAGTGAACGTCTGGTCGAGTGGTGTGTGTGATCCGGTCCTCCAGTCACATGTGGTGTTGTTGGTTGAGAATGGTGTCATTGTTTCCTTCGTCTATGATGTAAGTCCGTCGCGTTGAGCTGCGTCTTGTGACTGCAGCTTTTGACCGATCATGCATGATTTCGTAAGTTCACTCGCCCTCCCTGAAGGGCCTGTAGTTGATATGATTTATAAAGAAGGGAGTTGAAGGCTAAGCTTGAAATGTGTGAGTGTGTGTGTGTGTGTGTGTGTAGTCCGACTGTGAAAAAGTGGAAGTCAACTGAATGTGGTTTCGGCAGTTGAGTTTGGTTTCAGCTTCCTTTAAATATCTATCTATCTATCTATCTATCTATCTATCCATCCATCCATCCATCGTATCTATGCTATCTATCTATCCACTGCTGTCGTTTTATCTATCCATCCATCCATCCACTGCTATCTATCTATCTATCTATCTATCTATCTATCTATCTATCTATCTATCTATCCATCCATCCATCCATCGTATCTATGCTATCTATCTATCCACTGCTGTCGTTTATCCATCCATCCATCCACTGCTATCTATCTATCTATCTATCTATCTGTCTATCTATCTATCTATCTATCTATCCACTGCTGTCTATCTATCTATCTATCTATCTATCTATCTATCTATCTATCTATCTATCTATCTATCTATCTATCTATCTATCCATCTATCCACTGCTGTTGTTCTATCTATCTATCTATCTATCTATCTATCTATCTATCTATCTATCTATCTATCTATCTATCCTCTGCTGTTGTTTTATCCATCCATCCATCCATCCACTGCTGTCTATCTATCTATCCATCCATCTATCTATCTATCTATCTATCTATCTATCTATCTATCTATCTATCCACTGCTGTCGATCTATCTATCTATCTATCTATCTATCTATCCTGATTCTATCTAATCTCTCTATGTCGATCAGTCTGTCAATCTTTCTGTCTTTATTCTATCACTCATTCTATAATTTTTCTATCTATTATTCTTTCTGCGTGTCTATATATCTGTTCATTTATCTGTCTGTGTGTGTGTTAGAATGTCTGTGAGGGAGTGCTCTCTCTCTCTCTGTGTGTGTGTGTGTGTGTTCGAGGCAGAACTTCATTAATAAAAAGCACCCAGAGCTTGCGCAGGAGCAGGGTAGTTCACAGCTAAATCATGCGGTTTCTCCAGTGCGTGGCGTCCCTCCATCAGCTTAATTCATCCTTACAGGGCCAGAGCTCTGAGAGCAAGCAGTGTTCGTTCTTCAGCCCTTCTGTTTGTACTCTTGCACCACCAATTATTATTTTATTCCTACTGTGTTGTTTGTAATCAGTGTTCTGTCTTTGCTTGCTGTGACAGGGATAAAGGTGGAGGCTGGAGTCGTGTTGGGGGAATATGCGTTGGGAATGGCAGGAGTGCCTCAGGGCTCCGTACGTGGCCGTTTGCTTTTCCCGGAGATCTGTTTGATGGAGCTGCAACTGTTAGCCAGCGGCTCGCCAGACCTGGAGGTTTTGGGCCACGTGTTGCAGAGCCTGTCAGGAGCCGTGAAAGGCCACATCAACAATGCAGCGCTGCTCTACCAGCAGGTCAGACTTATATCTGATGCCAAACTGATTTATTTATGTATGCGAGATATTGATGTTACACTGTGACATATCTTATTCCAGAAGACCTTCTGCTTTTGTCTTTAGTAACTTGCCTTTGGTCGGTAGACAGTTTTTGTTCTAGGTATCTCGTTGAAAGAGTATACTTGAAACTGAAGACAACACCTGTGAACCTACGTAGCAGGAACAAAATGACCTTTTGCAAACCTTTAGCAATTGGAGATTTTTTTGTTTTTTTGTTATCGGAGTTGTAAAAAAAAGCTGCTTTTTTGACAGTTCTTTAGGATTTAGGCCTATGTTGGAGAAATCTTAACAGGATTTCTTAATTTATTTGTACTTTATCCCATTGTCAATAATGATTTTGAAACTCGTAATATTGATATGTTTGAATACTCTGATCAGCTGGATTAAATAAGCTTTACTGTACTTATGACGAGATGTGATCCATCACGTTTTTGTTTTCTCTTGTCAGGGTGGTGTGAAAGCCATTCTCAGTGGTTTTCAGAACATTCTCAGCCAATCAGATGCCTCCTATAAAGGTGTATATTTCTTTCAAACTTAAACTAATTTCCATTTATTTATTTTTAATTAAATGTTTTTGACTTTAATCATAATTCTCATTATTCTCGTAATGGGTTTGTCATTACTAAAATACATTTTATCAATGATTCACCATAATTACCATTAATGAAAAGCAGCACAAAGAATACTAAATTATATATAAATAGTTTATAAAAAAAAACAATAAAAAAGGGAAAGTGAGATAAAAAAAAAACATTTTGTAATCATATTGCGTAGTTGTGTACTAAAATATAAAATTAAATATAAATTAAAATAACATTTTATTGATAATGATGTTAATGTTAATTATAATATTAATAATATGAAATGATAATATATTACTATTATTATTATTCATACAAATTCATTATAATTACCATTAATAAAAAGAAGCACAAATAGCACAATGATATATAAATAATTTATTTTAAAAAACTATAAAAAATAATGCAATATATATATATATATATAATATGAGTGAAATACAGTAGTGGCCAAAAGTAAAGAAAAACATTGCGTAATTTTGCTTGGTTTGCTTAGTTTTATTTGTAGAAATGATACAATGAAACATGCTAAATTGTGCCGACATAATTTTTGGCCAGGCTGTCATTCAAAGAATCACATGCAACAACAAGAGCGAACCAATGAAATATCAATAACTGATTATGTTGTTGTCAATTATTGCTTTATCGTGTGACCTTTTTGTTTTTCTATGCATTTTTTTTAATGTAAAATAAAATATTTATGAACAATATTTTGCTCATATTTTGATGGTTTGGCAACAAATATCCCCTCCAGAAAGGCATATTCTTAATAATTTTTTAATTAGATTCATATTTGATATTAATCATGCTAATCTTAAGCATTATTATAATTGCTCTCTGTTGTACCCTTCAGAGTGCCAGACAATACTGATGGAGCTGCTCGTATCCATGTTGAGTGACAGCATCACGGCGGAGGAACTCGCCCTGTTGACCCGCCTCTTCCTGGAGAAGACTCCGCCCACTGTAAGTGCAACCTTAAAATAAGCATTTAAAGGTGCAGGGTGTGATTTTTAGTGGCATCTAGTGGTGAGGTTGAGAATTGCAACCAACAGAAGTTATGGTGGCCGACAGGAAGTGATGTCGCCGTGAGTAGCCAGTTAAGCAATGAGGTTTCTTTAGAAAGGTAAATTAAGAAAATAGGTTTAGTAAACGATACATTATTGCGAATATTATTGTTACGTGTTCATAGTGTTTTATTCGTTGACTTTAGCAGCTTCTTTGCACAAAGAACAACATAGTGACGAAACGCGTTTGTCCGCTCTGGGCAAAGTGGACCCGCAGTGTGTGTAGATCGAAACGGCACATAAGGTCCACTGAAACATAGTTATGTATATAATATTGCATTTCCCACAATGCACCCTTCAAATTAGGCCACAATGAATTTATACACATCTCGAAACCTTTTCAGTTCCCTTTTCCACTGAAAAGGAAAAGCTTTGAAACTACGCAATGCAAATGTACAATGTGATCAAGCATCCTGTAAACAGGTTTATTTTTAACAGTGTCAGAAAGTGGACACACTGATGCAGAATACGCTTTTAGTAATGCCAATTCTGATATGAATCAGCCACTCTAGGATAAATATCTTGCTCTTGTTCACACTTTTTTTGTTATGTAAGTTCATTTGTGATTGGCAGTCCTTTACTTCTGAGCACCTCTTTTCCTATGGCCTCGCAACGTTAGTTTAGTTAATAAAAATACAGAAGTTCATTGTTAGTTCATGCTGGTTCACAGTGCATTAACTTAGTTAACAAGATCTTAATAAAGTACTAGTAAATGTTGAAATGAACAAAGATTGATAAATGCTGTGTAAATACTGTTTATTCTTAGTTTATGTAGTTAACCTTACCAAAATCAGAACCAGTTCCAGTTTTTCGTGATATGAGCCCATTTATTTGGTGCTTGATAGTTACATTTAAATTGTTTGCAATGAAACTTTAAATTGTGTGAACTGAGGCAACCACTCAGAAATCTGTATTGTCATTCCTCATCTGTAGGAGATCTTGTTGAGAGGCGTGCTCCAGATTGTGGAGGCCAACTCAGACACAGAGCCGCTCTACTTCATGTCCTTTCCCATGATCCCTGGCGCAGGGGTCCCTGGCTCCAGCTCTTCCCCTGGGATGAGGCCTCATGGGGCGGTTGTGGGTAAGGGTGGCGTAAACGCTCTCTTGAGGGGTAAATTACCCCTGGGCCGTGTTGAAGGAGACCCGAGCCGGCCTGGTCACCTGCGCTCTTCTCCCTGGCACACGGCGCCCTTCCACCTGCCCTTAGTGGGCCAGAACTGCTGGCCTCACATGTCCAGTGGCTTCAGCGCCTCGCTGTGGGTACGAGCGGGGAACGAGGACGACGGCCATCCTAAGAAGGGTAAAAAGATCATTCTAGAATATTTATTTTTTATTATATAAGGTTATAACACAGATAAGTATTATCAATATACTCTAAATTGCAGGGGTCCTTAAACTCCTTAAATGTTTGTAAATGGAAATTTTTTGAAAATAAACATACATAGATGCAGGTTCGGAAGAGGATTAGGGCCAAGCAATAATACAAAAAATAAAACCATCATTATAATGCGAGATTAAAGTCGAAATTCAATCTTGAGAGTTATCTCATTAAATATCGAGGATAAATTTGTTGTGTTTTGAGAGAAAAAAACTCGTTAAATTTTAAAGAAAAAGTCGAAGTAATCTTGAAAATGAACTCATAAACTTAAATTTAGAGAATAAAGACAACGACACGACTCGAAATTGAATGAGTTCATTTTCAAGATTGTATTTTGACTTTTTTCTCAACTTTATTCTCGATATTTACTGAGATAATTCTCAAGATTGTATTTACATTTTTTCTCTCTCGAAATTTAACGAGTTTAATTTTCGTATTATGATGACTTTAATCTCGAGATTTTTTTTTTATTTGTTTATTATTGCTTGACCCTAATCCTCTTAATCCCGTATACAGGTCCTATAATGTCAACAAATGTGTTCCCTCATTAAGTCATATTGAACCTGGAAAGTCCTTAAAAAAGGTCCTTGAATTTGAAGTTAACCCTGGTGTGGGAGTGTTTTATGCTCACACACATACACCACTAAGAGGTCGCGCAACGTACACGGGAACATTCAGGAGCACAGAAACTTGTTATTAACACTGACCTGTGACTTTTAATAATATTAATATTTATTAATACATTATGTTTTTCAGCAACAAGCTTAAGTTTTTCAAGTATTTGTTTGATTTTAATTTCAGCTTTAATTCAGTCACTGAAAATATTTAGTAATAGTTTTAGTTAACAATAGCAACACTGAGACATAAATACCACCCCACTCCAAGGAGAGGTTTGATGGGTTTGTCCTGTGTGTGTGTGTGTGTGTGTGTGTGTGTTGCAGAAGAGGTGGAGTCCCTGCCTGGTCCGGCTCATGTCACGGACCGATGCCTCCTCCATGTCCTCTCCATGGGCTCTAAGGCACTGATGCTTCAGGTGTGGGTGAACATCTCCACCGGAGCCTTTACCTTCAGGTGAGTCACATGACAAAAGCTTTAAAAGGTTATTTATAACATTGTGCTTGGCATGTTTTTCATCTTCAAACCAAACTTGGGTCTCCATCCGACAAACTTTAAATCCCGTTTGGCTAGAGCGCTTCCCATAATGTGAACGCATTAGGTCAGTATTCAGAGAGCAAGCGTCTTTTGTGTCTGTTTGAACACATTCGATCACATGAGCGTTTACTCTAAGTAATCCGGTCGAATGTGTTTCCAACAACTTGAGATCCGATCGACCAAAATGCATCTGATTTCCAGATGTAAACGGGGCCTTAAGAATCATCAATGCTGAGTTTGAAATGTGACTGTTCATTTGTTTTTGTGAATTCAGGACCTGCATTGATCCCAACGATGAGATGAAGGCGGGTCTGCTCGCCCAGGCGGAGTCTGGAGACGGTTTGCTGACCGCTGGCAGGTGGCAGCACTTAGCTCTCACATACACACAGCAGCCCGAGGGCCGGAAGAGCGTTCACGGTCAGCTGACACTCTGGGTGTGCGGCATTAGGTGAGTCCCTGATTGCAATTGGTCAGTTGAAAAGGGGCACTTGGCAACTATTTCAATTTAAAGGAGTAGTTCACTTTAAAAACTCGCCCCCATGTCATCCAAGATGTCCATGTCTTTCTTTCTTCAGTCGAAAAGAAATAAAGGTTTTTGATGAAAACGTTCCAGGATTTTTCTCCATGTAATGGACTTCAATGGGGTCCAAACAGTTCAAGGTCCAAATGAGAGTTTCAGTGCAAACCGCAAACTGTTCAAAGGGCTTTAAACGACTCCAGACGATGAATAAGGGTCTTATCTAGCAAAACGATCGGCCATTTAAAATAAATAAATAAATAAATAAAAAAGTTTAAGTTTTATAAGCTCAAATGCTCGCCTTGCTCTGTTCTGTGATGAGCATTCATGACTCTCCTGTTTGAACTCGTTTATCAAAATGAACAAATCTTATTTCGAGTCATGACTCGAAGGGTCCTAGATAAGACCCTTATTCATCATCTGGCATCATTTAAAGCCCTTTAAAGCTGCACTGAATCTCTCATTTGGACCTTGAACCGTTTGGACCCCATTGAAGTCCATTATATGGAGAAAAATCCTGGAATGTTTTCATCAAAAACCTTAATTTCTTAATTTCTTACGGTTCAAGGCCCAAAAGAGAGTTATATTCAGTCTGCTGTTTAAAACAAATAAATAACCAATGTAGGAGAATAGTTATGCACAAACAGCGGGAAAATCTGTATATTTTATTCTGATTTGAAGCTTGCGATTTATATAAACGCGCACATCAACCTCATCACATGTTTAGCGTTCATGTAAACACTAACATTCGGATTCATCAATCAATTGAAACAAAAGTTGTGCATGTAAACATTGCCATTGATTGCGAAAAGCTACACTGTTTTAATCAACCATTCTTGTGCCACATTCAGGAAATGTGACGTCTCGCTAGATTTCACTCTGCCTAGGAAGTCCAGTTTGTCATCGGACAGTAATAAGACCTACTGTATGTTCGGACACTGTCAGCAACCCTCAGAGGAGCAGTCCAGCCCAAGTGCACGCTGGGATATGGGCACGCTGATGCTCTTTAATGGTATGAAACCAGACCTCCTTCTTTAAAAAGAGATTATATTTGGAATTTTTTTAAGCCTGTTGTGGAGTGTAAAATAAAGCTGAGATAAAATATAAATGGTAACACTTACATTTATATTATAGCAATACATTTGTTACAGTATTTATTAATTTTTGGTAATGTTAGTTAATAAAAATAAAGCTGTTTTCATGTTAGCTCACAGTGCATTAATGCTAACAAATACAACCTCTGATTTTAACAGTGTGTTAGTAAATGTAAAACAATTTAAATGTAGTAAAATTAGTTTAAAAAAAATATATAAATATATTTAAACCGAGTTCTTTGCTGAATTTACTTCTACTAAAAAGGATTAATAATTAATAATAAAACAACAGTGTGTGCTGTTGGAAAGATTATTTGTTTGCACTTTGTTGTTGGTAACGCGGGGTCTTCCTGCTTCTGGCAGTGTCCATGCGTGAGCCACAAATTCTCCACATTCCCTCCACACAACAAGCCTTTCTTAACAGAATAGCAATTCTGTTGCTACTAATAGGTCATGAATGGCTCAAGTCCAGCCATTCCCATCCTGTAAAAAGCTCTAATGCAGTAAGATGGTCCTCTGAATGTGTTTATTTGACTTTGACTGTTTCAAACACATCTACCACACTTTCTCTTATTTTTCTTTCTTGTATGTTATAGTCTAGGCTCCACGTTTTTTTGTGACATTCGTTCTTGTCTGTTTTTGGAGTAACATTAGATAATATATTAACTAACATGAGTAACATTGAGCAATATGTTTTTTTTAGGTTTCATTAGTTCGCATTGCTTTGCTCCATGGGTTAACAATAGAAAAATACTCCTAACGCATTTATTAATCTTTGTAAATCTCAACATTTACTGATACATTATATAAAAAGTTGTATCTGTTCATATTATTTATTATTTAAAGACCAATGAACAGCTGTATTTTTATTTGAGCAAAGATTGATAAATACTGTAACAAATGTATTGCTCATTAGTTAACGTTAGTTAATGCATTAACTAATAGGCCTTATTATGAAGTGTTACCGATAATAGAAATAAAATTGTTCGTCGTTTGTTCACAGTTAACTTATATTAACAGATACAACTTTTAAGTTTAAAAATGTATTAATAAATGTTGAAATTAACATGAACTAAGACTAATAAAAATGGTTAATTGTTAGTTCATGTTAACTAATGTAGTTAACATCAGTTAACAATTTAAACCTTAATGTAGTGTTAGCATTTTTTTGATGCACCGATATGAACATTTTGGCCGATGCCGATAATTCTTTATATTTGAAAGCCGATAACCGATATATCGGCCGATAAATCGAAATATGATTTTTGAGAGCCTGATTGCAAAAACAAAAGTCTCACAATTAAAATCCATTTCCCAATCACACAATTATAATGTTCTCATTATAATTTCATGTAGCCGATATGACAGCACATTTTGCACTTTGATTCCGATCATATTTCTAGCAATTAAGATCAATCATGTTGAACAGTGCGCATCTGAAGTGTCTCGGGTGTCAAGTGTTGAAGTAAATAATTATATCAGCCAAATTTTATTATCGGGCCGATAACGATAACATAAAAATGAGCAAATATCGGCCGATACCGATATCGTGGCCGATATATCGTGCATCACTACATTTTTTTTAACTCATGTATTTGCTCTAAAATGATTTCATTAAATAACACAAACGACTATTTAGTCATTTAATTAATATGCATAAATATGCAGTGGTATTTGCCTACCTATATCTTTCTACCTACATAAAAAAAATGCATGCTGGGAGTTCAGCAAAGAAGTATTAAACTGGTCATTGCTTGTTTTAGGCTCCAGAATTGACACTGCGGAGGCGTTTTACCTGTACGCCAGCGGTCCTGACCTCACCTCCATCATGCCCTGCAAGTACGGCAAGCCCCAGGAGACACTGTCCAAGTACGTGACACAGGAGGGTCTTCAGTGTGAGCAGATACGAGAACTCCTCATGAGGAATACAGACGTCGACATCACACCTCTTATTGTAAGCCTATGAATATGAAATGTTTTTTACGAATGTCTGCACCCGAAGGCTTTTATGCAAATGTATCTGACATTATTTGCCCATTTGTACCTACTAATTTCCTGCTTGCTTAAGTGCCTTTTCTGTGCAGTTTTACCCACTGACATCTTAATTAGCAGTGATTTTACATGCTGTTCCATGTGTTCATATGCTAATGCTTTACATGCACGGCAATTACGGCTGCCCGCGTGTTTATTTTAGCACTTCTGTCAGGGAAACGCCACACAACAGCCTGTAAAGAGCATCAGGAAATAGTGGTAACCTAAATAATATAAGAAAGTTAAATTATTTTATAAAATATATATATAGCCAACTCTCTCTTCCGACAGTCATTCTCTTTTCTATCTTCATGTTTTCTCCTGATGATCCAAGAAACTGACACTTGTTGTAAAAGGTCTGAAGAGTGAGTGTAAAGATATTTAGGCTATGATTGATTTTGTGCTGCCAGAGAAAGCTAAACTAAACTAAAATCCCAAGCATAAGTGAAATGCATTATACAAATAAACTTGATGTGCCTTATCATAATAACAAGCACAAACTGTGTTAAATAGAAGTTGATGTGCAAGCAAAAGGGTATTAGGCCTATTATATTTGCATTTTTACTGTGGTAAAGTAGATAAAACGCTGTTGGACAAATTTAAAGCGAACCAAAGGAAGAAATGTTTATAATCTCCTGCAAAAATGGGTGAGATGTGTGTTAAGATTTGCAAAAAGAAACAAGATATTCCATGTCCGATTCAAAAACACAAATAAATTCGCTGATAATCGGATGACCAGATCGCAAGCCGACAAAGCTTAAATTTTACAGTATGGGAACATGTGACGAACCTCTCTCATTTGGCATGAATCCACGTGTTTCAATGGCTGCAATGTAACATTTAATTGCTATAATCTATTATTTCACTCGTGTCATAACATCGACGTAAAACAGCATTCAGGTACAATAAAATGTGTTTTGCGGTCCACCACCGGTGCTGTGATGCAGCTGTCAAGTTTACCGGCACTGCCCTACTGCTGTCAGAGTCACTTATCCATGACAAATCAAAAAATATATATTGCTAATATAAAGTTTTGTACAAATTTGTCTAAGGAAACGTTTCAATAATATGTCCCAAGTGATATATCAACTCAAAATCAAAAGAAAAACATGAAGAGTTCAGATGCAAAATGCCATTTGAAATTTTCTTCTTTAATGATGATTTTTATCAAACTTGTATATTTAAGTTCAGTAATTTCACTTAAATAACAATTAATAGGTAATTATCATTGCCATTTAAGTGAAATCACTGAACTTAAATATACAAGCTTGATAAAAATGATCCTTCTAGAAGAAAATTTCAAATGGCGCTTTTGCATCCGAACTCTTCATATTAACCCTTTAAAGCTCTAAACAGTTTCTTTAACATATAGGCAAAAATAAAAAATTATTTACTGTAGTCATTAGTCAAGCAAATCAACAACAACTTGCTGCATTGAACTCTGTTTTTTTGTTTTAAAGTGCAAAAAAAAAAAATACTGTCTTGAGGAACTTGAATGTTTACCTGTGGATCTGTTTTTATCTCAACATGTGCATTTGTGTTTCTACAGGAGAGTTTAGCTGTAGTTTACGCCCCCAGCACACCGTCTCTGTACACCATATATGAGCCAGTGATCCGTCTGAAGGGCCAGGCCAAGACAGCGGTGGTTTCCCAGCGGCCCTTCAGTGCCAAAGAGGTCCAGAGCCCCATCCTGGAGCCTCCTTTTCTCAAGACCATGATGCCCTGCAGGGCTCTCGGCCTACACAGCGCCCTGCACAAGATCGGTGGCACCGGCTCTTTTGTCTTCTTGTTTGCGCGGGTATGTGTTTGTTTGCGTATGTCACCGGGAATGACTGGAATGAGGTCTTATGTCACTGCGCTTCTGTTTACTGCACACAAACTGCTATTAAAAATGACCAGATGTTGCTTCACAAAAGCTCTGATAACTGTTTGTTGTGCTTTTTAATTGACGCAAACAGTTTAAGAGAATGAGGTACATCTGAATATTAAGCTTCAAAGTTTATAGGCAAGGGATCTTCAGTGTTTCCTTTATATTCCAATGCACATTTTTTGCTGGTAATCTGATTATATGTTGTTTCTGTCACTCAGAGGGGAAAAATACTAGGGCTGGGTATTGACACAAATTTCACAATTCGATTCGATTTCGATTCACAAGATTGCAATTCGATTCCGATTCGATTCAATATCGATTATTTTGGATATCAGTTGCAATAAATGGCAAATTTTCTCAAGGGAATCAAATCTCTTAACTAATGCTGTAAACTATGGAAGTCTAGTTGTAGCCAATAGGCTTCATTAAGGCCATTGCACACCGAGTCCGAAATTCGCATCCGAAATTTTCGCACGTTAAAAAAAAAAATCGACCTCACGTTATGTCAGTCACGCTTGCACACCGCCTCCGAAACTTTCGTCCGTCATAAAATTAATCGGATCGGGTTCGATTTTCTGCGTTTTTCGCATCCAGAGCCAACCTTTTGAGAGGTCTTTTGACAATTCAGGGCCGGGGCAGCTCGTCCTCAAATCATTGCACATATGCGCCGTGCTTTCAGTTTCGGTTTTCAATTCGATCAAGTGTTTATGTTCTCTTCTCTATATTGGATTATGAAATTAATAAACCTCCCCTTTCAATCAGATTGAAATTTAGGATCGAATAAGGTGTGATTGAGCAGCCTATTCGATAACTAATGCATTATTTGGGCACAATATACACAATAACAGCCTAGCTGTTCTGTCTGCCCAGCGCTTCCAACGGGCCGCGCGCGGGTGTGTGTTTGTCCGTGTGTGTGTGTCCATACCTGGTCCATTTCAGACACACTGCCAGTCTCCGTTCAGAATCGATTGGTTCACGGAAATTGGTGGTCTTGTTTTTAATATGTGGCTCCAGAATCGCTTGCAAAGCATCGAACTGTCCCACTGACATTCTGAGGTAAATTTTGAATCGCTCAGGATAAATTCGCAACTCCTTGATAAGGAACTCCTTCCTCTCGGCGCAATTTCAGGATTGGATGGACGTAATATTTTCTCTTCCCTTTTCAATAAGAGAGAGGGCAAAAATCATCCTCACTGCTTGACGAATCCATTTGGTATTTTTGCGTTTTTTCCCGCAAAGGTTTAAGAAATACGCAACGGACTCGGTGTGCAAGGTTTCTATGCGTGACGAATTTTTAAGCTGACGAACACGAAAATACGCATACGAATATTTCGTGCTCAGTGTGCAATGGCCTTTAGCCTAATATGAAGGTAATAATGAACTGTTTTGTAGCTATACAAACACTTAAATTACACTTTTATTTATTTTTATAATAAGAAGATTATATGAAATATAAACATTTAAATGGTGGCTGTCATAAAAACTTGCCAGATTTATTCAAATATGCATTAAATATTGAAGAACATTAAGATTATAATGCATATGTAATATGGTGTATATATTTAGCGAAATGCTCCTCTCTAGAGTTATTTTTTCTAGCTGACTAACGAGTTGATGTGGGTTTTCTGAGGTAAATATGACGATACATGACATTGATTACAAGCTGTTTAACTGACGTCTTTCCACGGTTGAAACGCTGATTGTGAATCAATGTGACATGATACGGATTTCGATAAGTTGTACTCTATCTTTAACACACTTTCAGATGCTCATTCATGTTTATTTGGCGCTGTGACTGGTATTATTAAGCCGGAAGAGAGATCAGCGCTGCTGCTTCTCCAGAGCGATCTCACGCCACAGCGACAAAACCTTATTTATGTTTTTGAATTTCTAAAGAAAATGGACGTAATTTGAAAATTGAGACTTTGTTTCATATCAATAGTAACAAATAACAAAGATTATTGCGATGTTTTGGATGCGCGCAGCCGCGATACAATGATCCATTCATTCAAATGAAACAGGATGACTAATCGATTCTTGAGATTTAAGAATCGATATCGGTTCGTAAAAATCGATTAATATCGAGAAATCGATATTTATTACCCAGCCCTAAAAAATAGGATTTTTGGTCAGCATGTCGTGTCCCAGGACGTCCAAATGTACACTGTGTTCCTTCACATTATCCTTCAGACGTCTCTCGAATGTCACCTCAGACATTGTGTTTCTCTCATTCTCATTTTGTATGTCTCTCATTTCCTATCAGTCTGACATGACAACTGAAATACTAACACAAAAGCAAATATGACTGTTTTTAAACTTGATCGTACTTATCCCAAACTTTACAGTGTTTTATATTAAATACATTAATACTTTTACTCTACAAGGATGCATTAAGGGTTAAAGGTGACAGTAAAGAAACTTGTAATGTTGCAAAAAATTATATTTCAAATAAACTTTCTGTTCATCAAGGAATCCTGAAAAATAAAATCTATCACGGTTTCTACACGGCATGATTTCTGAAGGATCACGTGACACTGAAGACTGGAGTAATGATGCTGAACATTCAGCTTTGATCACAGGAATGAATTACATTTCGCAATTTTGAAATATCTATAATGTTATTGTATATTAACTTAATACTCATATGATCACATTAAAACCATTGGGATATTTACAAATGCTTTGAAATTATACACTGTATATTTCATACTGCAAAATCTAATTGACATTATCTAAACCATAAATGTTGATCAACAACACCCAATGTTTGAACCACGCTGAATGAGACCAAAATAATTGAGGAGCAGTGCTAATTAAAATAGCAACAGATGCTCAGTCTTGGTGTGATGCCAAATAACAGATATTAAAGAATTTAGTGCAGATGGATCTTGTTTATTTAGGTCGTTTAGTTTGGAGCAGCCATTCGCATTTTAACACTGTGACCCAGAATGTCAACATGAAAACACTTTCACAACTCGCTTCACTTTCATTATATGATGCGTTACTGTGATTTTAGCACCAGGAACACCTGAATCACACCTCATGCCTCTCTTTCTCTGTCTTCTGATTGGTCGTTTTGTTGTAGGTGGTGGAGTTGAGCGACTGTGAGAGAACTCAAGCTCTGGCGCTGCAGCTTCTTCTGTCTCTGGTTAAAAACCATCAGCATCGCACCCATGAGATGGAGTGTTACCACGGTTATTCCATGATTCACCAGGTTCTCATTAAGCCCAAGTGCATTGTGGGATACCACATTCTGAAGGTGAGTTTTAGCATATCAGATGTTTCTTCATAAATAAAAAAATTTCTGATCATATAAAATTAAGCAGACTTGTGAAAATCTAAATATTTAAATTCTTATTTGGTCATAAAGTTTGCTAAAGATGGCTGTTGGTTAATAAATAATGGTTCCTCTAATTAATAAAAGACATAAATATCAAGATGCATATTAAATAGGGCTTGGAAACGATTAATCGCATCCAAAATAAAAGTTTGTGTTTACATAATATATGTGTGTGTAGTGTGTATAATTATTTTGTACATATAAATACACACACATGCATGTATATATTTAAGAAAAATGTGTTCTTTATATATCAAATATTTATTTATGTATAATATTAATTTTATATAAATATTAGGGCTGTGCAAAAATTAATTGCGATTAA